CGGCATAATGACTCAACTGCTGTTTGAAAACCCTGGGACTGTGCACATACTCTCAAACAGATGGTTGTAGAGAGCAATTTTAACGTCTTCTTCTGCCCTTTCTCCGTTTTCAGATCGAGAGTCTCGTAAACCGTGCCTGCTTCCACCTCGCTGTGGAGCACAGGGTGGACTTCGTCGGATGTGACGGTCGAACTGTCATAAGGGTAGTACCTCTCAGTCGATGACTGAATGGTTACCCCGTCCCCGAAGAATGGTGCTCTAGGCTACATGCAGGGCTGCGTCTCACACTTGTGGGCTTTAGGGATTTTATCGATTAGCGCATCCCTCTACTTCCCCCGAGGAAACTAACTACGGCCGGCATTTTAGAGAGAGAGAGAGAGAGAGAGAGAGAGAGAGAGAGAGAGAGAGAGAGAGAGAGAGAGAGAGAGAGAGAGAAATTCGCTTTATTTTGAAACTATACATCCAAAATTTTCAGCAAAAAAATGGACTACATTCACTATGGGCAGCAAATGTGTTAATAGATTACTCGAGAGTCAGCCTATTTAACACACAAAGAATGATTACTATGAGAACAGTTCAAGTCTTGGCTTCTGTACTTCCATCTCTTCACACGTAAGATAGGGCGTCAGGAATGCCAATACAGAATCTCGATATGCCGATGTGCGACAAGACATAAGCCGGAAGCCGTGGCACATCGGGCGTGAAGACTTCGCAGAAATAAGATCAGAATGCAAGCGTTGTGCTGCGCCATCCAGAATTAGACCAGCAAATTGCTTGACCGTTTTAAAATGTCGTCGTATGATAGTATCGACTAAAAAGACATAACAAACACTGGCGACAGTAGAGAGCATTCGGTGGACTCGTTTTAATATTAACATATATTTTTTTAAGCAAAGCTGGAAAAATGACTGGAGAGCCATATAGAATAAGAGGCAGGATGCAGGCATCTATGAATCGTCATATTACGGGTTGAGGTGTGTGGTAGGAACGTAAACAACGAATTTTAGTAAATAGGGCCTCAATATGGAAGGAAAATGACAGATTTGATGACAAACTAACGCCAAGGCACCTGAAAGAGGACGCCTCGTTAGGAAGGATGTCAAGGGAGTCAGGACTAGGAGATGGCTGCAGTTGGAAAATACACTGGACTGAGTTTTGCTTGTTCATTAAGAGACCATTTTCCTCCGACAATACTAGGACATAGTCAAGGCCATCCTTCAGAGATTGGAGATGTGGCCGGTTTTTAAGAGGGTGTCGAACAGCCACATCATCAGCCTGCTTAGAGTCGTTAGGGAGTCTTAGATCATCGGTGTGGAGGGAGTAAAGGTGAGTGGATGGAATGGAACCTTGAAGAACTCCTCAGTCATTGGGAAGGACCGTAGATTCCCGCTTGCCAGATTGGACAAATTGAGTGTGGGAAGTAAAATAATGGCTAAGCCAAGAGACGACCCA